AGAACGATCGAGAGAAGAGAGAAACAAAGAGGAAAGCAAAGGTGTTGGGGGATAGCTTGCTTGATTGCGAATTCTTCGGTGGAGGTAGGTTATTGTTTATGCTATTTCATAGTAAACTCTTAGTAGCGAATGATATGTATTGGGTAGTATTGTAAACCCTTGTATATGCTTAATTATGTGCCTGCATGATGTGATTATATAATTGTGATAAAAAAGAGCATGATGAGGCTGTTGAATCTTAAACCTTTAAAAACCTCTTTGTTAATGATGATGCCTTGGTATAAAAGAAGATTTGATGAATTAAAAGAATGAGGTTAATGGATTGGGTGTCACGAACCGACCCATAGTATTAGGGGATCGGGTGTCACGTTCTGGCACCAGGATAGTATCAATGGATCGGGTGCCACGTTCCGGCACCAAGATAGTATTAATGGATCGGGTGTCACATTTCGACACTAGGATAGTATTAATGGATCGGGTGTCACGTTCCGGCACCAGGATAGTATTAATGGATCGGGTGTCACGTTCCGGCACCAGGATAGTATTAATGGATCGGGTGTCACGTTCCGACACCAGGATAGTAGTAGTGGATCGGGTGTCACGTTCCGACACCAGGATAGTAGTAGGAGGATCGGAGTGTCACGTTCCGACACCAGGATAGTAAAGAGAATGAATCTTGAATTATGTTAATATACTCAAATTAATGAACCTATTTCCCAAATGAGTATGGTATGGAGGCTTGAGTCCTCATGGGTGTACTTGGTGTTATTATCAATGATTCTTGTACTTGTTGCTGCTACCTGTTGAGTATTGTAGTTGATTTTATGATATTATCTGATATATATTGCTTTCTATTTTGAGTTTTCCGATGATATCTACTCAGTACTCGTGTTTTATACTGACCCCTACTTGTACGTTTTCTCTTTGTTATTTGTGGAGTGCAGCAAACGTACCGTCGTCTTCAACTCAACCACAACTCTAGCCAGTCTTCATCACGTCAGATTTCAGGGTGAGCTATTGTTTCTAGCTTAGACTAGATCTTGTTCTTCACGTCTTGATGCCTTGATGTTCTGGCATGGACTAGCTGTTTAGTTATTTTAGCTTCTTAGATACTCTTAGATTTAGTAAGTTGAGGATAAATGTTGTTGTGATGACGACTTCCAGATTTTGGGGAATGATAAGTATTGAATTTTAGAAGTTATTAATTGATTTCGCTAATGAGTTTTAAGTCTTCCGCATTATATTCTGTTTATTATGTTTGAAATGTTGGGGTTTAGATTGGTTGGTTTGCTCAAATAGGAGGGTAAGTGTGGGTGCCACTCACGGCTCGTTTTGGGTCGCGACAACAGGAGAAGAACAAAATTATATTACAAGAAAGTTAGTAATGGAAGATAAAACAATAACTACGGAACACTCATTTTCAGAATTACCAAAAGTATTAATAAATACTGAAGAGACAAAGGAACAAGAAATTATAATTGGAGCTATAACAATGATAATAAAATTTAAAATATATCAAGGAAATGAAAAACACTAGGAATAAAATGACTAGAACAAGTAAAGCAATGTAATATAGAGGATAAACAACTAATGATAAATTATCAAAATAAAAAGGACTTGAATATAAAAAAATATATGAAAATATATATACTCGCGAAGATAAAGAATATTATAACAAATACTAAATACCAATGATAGATACAGGAGCAGAGGCTAATATATGTAAATACAATTGTTTACCAGAAGAAAAATAGGAAAAGTTAAAAACACCAATAGTAGTAACAGGATTTTATAATGAAGGAAGTATGATCACATACAAGGCAAAAATATGAAAATACAAATATGGGATAAAATATTAACTGTAGATGAAATATATAAATTAACAACAAAGGATTTGTTATTAGGAATGCCATTTTAAAAAAAATTATATCCACATATAATAACAAAAACACACTGGTGGTTCACAACACCATGTAAACAAAAGATAGGAGCGAGAAGAGTAGGTAACAAAAGAAGAAAAACAACAGAATGGATTAAAGACAGTGAAAAAATTACACAAAAGTTCGAAAATATAAAAGAAGAAGACCATAGAATAGAATTAATTATATTTTCCTTAGCTAAACTAAAAATAATTCAAGAAAAATTAAAATTATTGTATGACGAAGATCCTTTACATGGATGGAAAAACATAAAACAGAAGTTAAAATTGAACTGATTGATGAAAATAGTATAATACACAAAAACCATTAAAATATAATTTTAATGATTTAAATGAATTTAAAAATACATAAAAGTGAATTACTAAAAAATGGATATATACAAGAAAGCAATAGTAACATACAAGTCCAACATTTATTGTAAATAAATATAGTGAACAAAAAAGAGAAAAAAGTAGAATGGTAATTGATTATAGAAATTTAAATGCAAAAATTAAAACATATGATTATCCAATACCAAATAAAATATTATAGATAAGACAAATACAAGGATATAATTACTTTAATAAATTTGATTGTAAATCAGGATTTTATCATTTAAAGTTAGAAAAAAATCTAAAAAGCTTATAACATTCACAGTATCACGAGGATTTTATGAATGGAATGTATTACCATTTGGATATAAAAATACACCAGGTAGATTCCAACATTTTATGGATAACTATTTTAAACAACTAGAAAATTGTGTAGTATACATTGATGATATATTATTATATTCTAAAACACAAGATGAACTCATAAGATTATTAGAAATATTTATACGTATAATACAACACTCAGGAATAAGTCTAAGTAAAAAGAAAACAGATATAATGAAAAAACAAAGAGAATTCCTAGGAATACAAATAGATAAAAATGGAATAAAAATGCAAACACATATAGTACAAAAAATAAAACCTCGAATGAACAATTACATACAAAAAAGAAATTACAATCCTTTTTAGGATTAGTTAACCAAGTAAGAGAATATATACCAAAATTAACAGAAAATTTAAAATCATTACAACAAAAATTAAAGAAAGATGTAGAATATCATTTTGATAATAGAGATCAAACACAAACACAAAATTATGTAAAACATTACCGAAATTATATTTTTCAGATGAAGAGAAAAAATTTATTTATATAGTAGAAACTGATGCAAGTTATGGAGGATTATTAAAATATAAATATAATGATAATTATATAGAATATCACTGTAGATATTATTCAGGCACATATACAAATACGAAAATAAAATTAGAAATAAATAGTAAAGTTCAGTATATAAATGTTTATTAGCATTTGAGCCATATGTTGTATATAACAAATTTATTGTAAGAACAGATAATACACAAGTAAAATGGTGGTTAACCAGAAAAATACAAGATTCAGTAACAATGAAAGAAATTAGAAGATTGGTATTAAATATATTAAACTTTACATTTACAATTGAAGTGATAAAGACTAATAAGAATGGTGTTGCAGATTACTTATCAAGACAAAGCTACTCAGACTGAGAACAAAAACGATGATACAACTGAAGAGCTACTCAAATCCATTAGTACACTTTGTACTAAAGTGGAAAGTATGGACAATGAGATACAAAAGCTAAAGATAATGAAGATAACCTGAAGTCTAAAGCTAATATAAGTCAGCAACATGACTATAAAAATGCGGAGCTACGTCGATCGAAAGACGGTAAAATTTCAAAGATAAAAGGAGACGATGGGAAACTCCCTATAACCCAAAATGTTTGTTTAAATACAGCTACAGGTACAAGCAGAAATGTCAGTGAAAACCACGAAATACAAATTTAAACCAGTTATTTGCAAAATTATTTATTCAAAATACACTAAAACAAATACCCATAGAACCACAAACTTCTACCTATGTAGTAAGTATACAAAATCAGAGTGAAAAGAAAAGATACAATTATATTACACACACCTACATTGAAAATATATATAGAATCCAAACTTATTTAAATCTCAACCCCAGATCTAACCAAACCAAAGATCCAAATCAAGACTATATAACTCAAAAATTACAAGGATACAATAGGCTTTTAGCACAACCAAAAACTAGTGCTAATCTAGTTAAGACATGTTACAATTATGGATTACCAAGTACAATATATACATATGACGAAGAAGAAATCAGTGGAATACCAGAATTATACAAAGCATTTATTACATATAAAAGAGTTAGAAAAGGAAACTTATTTTATATTAAGTTTTATACAGCACCAACAGAAATATTATATGAGGAGGTAAAATCTCCAATTCAAGTTATTAAGATAGGATTAACAAAAGATATGATTATACCAGAAGATATTGGACATCAGAATGAAATACCAAAGATAGAAATACCAAATTTTTATGCCAATAAAAGAATAATTGGTATATCAACTATCATACAAGAATTAACAAATAATTATTTAAATGGAAATGCCATATGGAGCTATTATGCTGGAGATCAAGTTATGATATATTTAAACTCAAGAGAATTAAGAAGAACAGATATGGATGAAGTTCAACGATAGATTTTATTATTACTAAAGAAGAGAAACAACCTACAAAAAGAGCATTGAAGAAATAATTTATTTTAGAAGACTTATTAATTAGATATTGTAAACTTGTTGGACACAAATACCCAGATCACAGATGTTCCAAATGCAATGGAGAAGATAACGTTATACCAGATGTTGATTTGTAATAAAGATGAAGAGGTAAAAACGCAAAATAAGATAAGGATGGAGAAAAAGAGTTATAGTAGACAAAGAAAAATGACATAAGAAGAAAAATACGTAGAGATAGAAACAAAAAAGGTGGCAGACAAAGAGATAGATATCTTTGAAAAAATGTAAAAATAAGAGATAAGATTCCTTTGTATAGTAAATAGCTTTTACTTTTTTAAAAGGCCAATGTCTATAGCCGGCCATTTGTAAAGTTTTGTTTAAAAAGTTGTAAAGTATACAGTAGGCACACTTATGCACATGTTTAGAATTTAGTATATGTAGATTGCCAAATTGTAAATGAAAGGCAGGCAGTGCCAAACAAAAGTTTAGTTGATAAAAAACCCTTTCAAAAAACCTCTCTAAGATATAATTTAAGTTAAAAAATGGAGAAATCCTGAAATCAAGTAGGATATTATAGATAGCATGGAAAATCAAGAGACAAAGGTATATTGTTTAACAATTATGCAAAACTAATTTCATATATTCGTGAAAATCATATATTTGATTGATTAAATTTATGTTAGTTATTATATACTACAAAAATATTTGAATCATGAATTCTAGTTTGCTCATAAACAGGAAACAGGGAGAAAACTGCTAGACTATGTCATCCCACAGTGGAAATCAGTAGGCGAGGGATGTCCTTAGGGGAGTACACAAGGTTGAGGCGCTGATAAACAGTAATTATCCGCTAAAGTACGATGCTAGTAGTGACCGAAAAACATGATAACGATACTCTAGTTTATAATAAACTAATATGAATTTAATTGAATTATGATATGATAGGAAGGAATAATTGAAAAAAAACCTGCATAAATAAATAAACATGATTACAATGTATGATGAAATAAAAAACTATAAAACTTTGATCTCATATATACTTAAAGATATAGAAATTGTTGACATAAAAAAATTATGTGGGAAAAAATATTTGATCATGATATAGAAGATACATTAAATCAAGAATGGTATGAAATAGATTTACAAAAAATAGATATAGAAAGAATAGATATATACGATTTAGAAATAAATTCAGATTAAAATGAACTATGACTATTTAAAATATTGGATAAAAACTATGAATATATAAGATTATTAAAACAATTAATGCAAGAAAATTTATACATGTACAAAAGAACCCAAGATATGTTATATATAGAATATATAATAAATAATATTAAAGAAATATTTATATTAGAACAATTATCAAAATAAAATATATTTTACTCTATAAAATATGTATGTCGTTTCTCACCGATTTTATGCCCATCCGTAAACAACATGCACTTATTTATTACTAATAAAGTATGAATCATGGTCTAACTTTTTACTTGTATTAACAGAAGAATGACGGATTATGTGCAAAATCAGATTAATACTAAATATAAGATTATGCCGCTACACAATAAGCTGCCACAAAAGTTAAATTATATAAATACAAAACAAAAATTTTGTTGCGACTCACAAGGCTGCCACAGAAGTTTCACCTTTAGTGGCGATAAGGTTGCTGCAAAAGGGACTTTTGTAGCGACTCTTAACTGATATGATCGTAATAAATATCTTTTTTTTTCAATTATATTTTATTAGAAGATTAATTTATATTGGGGTCGACTTGTTAATTGTCTCCACTAAAAAGGACACACTTAGTGGCGACTTTACTAGTCACCAGTAAAACTATGATCTTTTATAGCAACCTTTTGAAGTGGTCACTGGAGCTCTCACTTTTGTGGCACCTCTACACGTTGTCACTAAAAGTTGTTGCAGAAAACCACAGTTCTTGTAGTGTGGGTTGTACTTCCATGTCGAGGAAGACAAGAAAGAGTTAGCGAAAGATATAAGCACAATTGCACGATTGGGAGTCCAGTTAATATTTCCAACGAAGGTGGAGTCGGTTAATGGAATTCATGTTTGGTTGACCTAAATGTTTGAATTTTTTTTTTCCAAATCAACTCATTTTTCTCAAATTTAATGAAAATTAGATTGAGTAGAAAGATCTGATATCAAAAGTTAGAATTACAATTATTGAATTATGGCAAATATTTTGTTTTAATGTCACATAAATTTAGAATTTATATTTATTGTTAACTTGGGTTCATGTGTCCTGTGTCATAATTTGATTTATGATTAGTTTAAAATATTGTGTATGAGTTAAACCTAGATATTTTTAAAGCAAATTTTTATTTTATGTTCAAAAAATACATATTTATTAATATTATAGAGTCTAATAGATAATAATTTTAATTACAATATTCAAATAAATTATATAAACGACATTAAAGAGCTACAATGACTTAAAATAAAAAATAAAATATCATACAAATAGATGCATATGATTGGATAACATCTTTAATTTTTTAAGATACAAGTGCGTGAACACATTGATTTTATAAATGAGTCCTTTCAAAATTATTATGAAACTGCTCTCACTTCCCAATTATTTTGCATATAGTGGCTTGGAAATGGAACATGTCGGTGACCAAAGGGGCCTGTCACTACCACTCCCGTTCATGACACTATCTTTAAATAATAATAATTGATATAGGTATTCACGAAATACATGGATAACATTAAAATGTTCTTTTCAATTATTTTTAAGCTAGGATATTGTTCACGCTTAGCACGGGTCCGAGAGTTCCAAATCTGGTGTCTTTTTTTATTTTTTTTTAGTGTACTTGTTAAATAAGTGTTTAATGTTAAGGTCTACTTATTTTCATTTTGTCGTTTTTATGTCTCCAAGTATGTGGGCATCCAAACTGTAATATCTACTCCCACTTAAAATTGAATATTCACAAGTTGATCTCTTATTGTTTAGGCCTTCATGCATCGGAGTGTTGAAATATATCCTGCTACGTTGGCTTGTCCGTACGACGATCTTAAACGGTTGACATTATAGTTATCTTTCTGTTTCATGTCATAGACATGTCTGTACATAATCATAATAAGGTGCAGTAAACTGCATTAGTGAGGTGTTTCCAATTTCTACTAACTGTGTGCCTAATTTCCATCTTTCACTTTCAGTTCATGGTATTATAGGTCTGTTGCACTTTTGCATGGACCTTAATTCATCCTGCACACTCAATGTACAGGATGGATAAACCATCCTGCTGGAGTAATGTAGTTTTGTATGTCTAATAAGCTGCAATGCAGTGCGTACACAACAATGTAATCTATTGTTACATAGTAGATGAGCCATCCACTAGTGATGTAGAAGATGTAATCACATTGATGTGTGTGTCCTTATATTCTATTAAATCTGCACACCATGCAATAATATATACCGATTAAATTTTTTAAATGTATTCCCTGCAAAATGTGTAGCATAACTTTCATATCTCCTGAACCCCATTATGACCGCCGCCGATGCAAGTATCCTTAAATTACCTGTGATTATGCCTATGTGTATTCGATATTGTCGTAGCATAAGTTTGCTATGAGAATTTTTTTTAGTGAGTGGTCAACTCCAATATATGTATTTGCAACAAATGATTAACTTTCATGCCTATGTGTTATCCATATTGTCCTTGCATAAGTTTGCTATGAGGATTCGTGGGTCTTCGCATTCCATCTCGATTATGAATCCTCTTGTATGGCTAGTTATCTAGACGCCTATCATTCTGGATAGTTTTTCTGTTATTCTTCTATTTAAGGATAGTATTGAAAAGCTAAAGTTACGAGCACATGTTAATAAATACCTGGTGTGTTTCCACAAGTCTTTGGCATACATTCTGGAAGATTTCTTTTTAAACAATATTTTAATGTATGTATGGTGTTCAGTGTCCTCGGCCGAGTTGTAGACTGTCAATCCTTCTCTTGTTGTTACACACGATACTGCGGCATATAATTGTTCATATGTGAATACACATTTTGGAAGATACAATCAAACTGTCGGTTGGGTTTTTCCTTGGATCTTATTCATCGTCATAGCATAAGAGGGCGCTAAAAGAAGTTGGCGTCTCTTAAGCTTGAATGGCCACTTTTATTCATTTGGAGGTATGATAATTCTTTGTATCGTGACTCTATTGCTCATTTTCTTACCAGAGATGATATTCACACTAATAGACCATTTCCCAAGATGTGTGATAATTAATCTTGTTCCGTTGCAAAGGCCTTACGTTTGATTGACATTTCTAAGAAGCACAACTGTACTTCCTATTTTAAGTGAATGTCATGGTTCAGAATTCCTGGTAAGCGTAAGTTAAGGAATTCGGTTGGGTACAATATATCTTCCTCATTAGTGTTCACACTTTCTTTGTACACATTGTCTGAGTTGTACTAGGTTCTTTTTAACCCTCATATCATTTTCATAATTTTATCATTCAGCTCATAAACCATTTCATTTTTTGGTGTCAGTATGGCTCTTTCTTTCAAGTATGTAGTGTCATCGTACTTTTGTAATAGTGATGAATATACTGCATCTACAATTGATTCCATATGATTGTGCGATGGCGGAATTCCTACATCAGGTGGCAACCTAATAAGGTTTAGTACATCGCACGTACTAATTATGTCTTCTATGTACAAAAATCATCAATGCATGAGAAAAGGATATTTTAGTCAAAATCATGCTTTCTATCAACTAGATCAACATGTACATATAATAAACATAGTAAGTCAATTCTACTTAATATCAACCCAACATGTAGACCACCTAAGCAGTACTTGTCCAATTCCAAAGATAGAATTCCATTACCCTATCCAAAGCTAAGTATCACATTAAGCAACCCACTTCATACTTGCAACATATTCTCATATTTCATCATGAAATTCTTCATAAATGAATGCTACTCATAGCTTATCAACATAGGCATCATCATAATCACAATCATAAAAGAATACTACTGGAACCATCCCTTAGGATCCCACAAGTGCAATATGTAAGTGAAGTCCCATACCCTCACTCACATCATGTAGAAACCTTCAAGACAAGCCCTATATGAGATAATGAACTTAACTTGTTTATTTACTTTTACATTAGGGAAAGAAGAACAATAACGGACATCAGATCATGTGAGATACATGTAATTTGGTGTTCTAGTCCCACACCGCAAAGAGATGGTCAACACTTGCCTGAGGTGTAACCTTTCGTACATAGCTATCTAGGTGGATCCACTAAGATATAGTCCTATGTGGGCACATAGTTAAGGGTCAAGTAGATTGTTACTAGGAATACTAACTTACTAATATGGGAGTTACCATCTCATGATAAAACACGGAATTCGTCTTACTAACGCGAGGAAACCCATGTGGGAGGCCGGACTTACTAAATGTGAGACATCCATCTCATTTACATGCCCTTTCGGTGCTAAGAATCTATTCCGTTCTTATAACCATATTTTGTTATTTTGTAAGTTCACACTAGACTTTATAAGCCCTTATATTAACATCTCAACATAATAGCTCATAGGTAATTAAAAGTGCGAACATTCCTTTCACTTTAGAAACCAATACACAAGTGAGTAAACCTTCCACTTAGCACATTATTACAATAATAAGAACACTATCAATCATATAATAATCATATCATAACATTCATACATACTTTGTGGATATTTTAGATGTCTAGGGTTAGGTATGAGGAATGCTTGTCATAAACATTACAACAACACATTAGACATAAGATCATTACTATCTAAATAACTCACTTTTCATAATTGAACTCAAGAGAGAATAAACAATCCTACTTTCTTGCACTTAATGGGACTTCACACCTCAATCACCCAAGAATGTATATCCAATACACAAAACAAGGTAATTCATGAAGTAATTTCATAATTAACATCAAATTAAACAATTATCATGTTCATCCCCTTCAACAATTTACCTTACTAAATCCAAGATTTGAGGAAATTGGGGAAAGACATGGGTTTAGGGAAAACTCATAGGAAATCATCAATTAACCATAAATATATACTAAAAAACCATTAAATAATCATAATTTAACACAATTTATTGACAATTCATTTTTCAAAGAAGACCCATGTATGGAAGAAAACCCTAGTTTTGGGAGATTAAGAAATAATCTTCTGGAGGAAACTCTTGGGGAAAAGAATCGCAAGAAACCATACCTTAAAAATGAATATCTACCAAATTGTAGTAGAATATTAGAGGATTTGGTCTTCATCTTTAAGCTACAAAGCTTCTTCAATAGACGTTGGGTAGAAAGAGAATGTAGAGAGAAGAGAGAGATTTTAGATTTTTATTTGGGGATTTGGTTTTAATGGGAAATTGTGGTAAAAAATTTATTTTAATTTAATATATAACCCTCACTAAAAATAACCAAAATACCCTCACTTAATTTGACCCTTTAGTGATGTCAAACTTGAATTCTCATTTCAAAATTTTCATTGGGAAACAAGTCTGCATTGCGGAGCTGTTCCTGTATACTTTCCAAGATTAATTTTTGAACCAGACAATTACGTAACATGTACACATTTCATACCAAGATTTTGTCCATAGGTTTGCAAAGTCTGCAACGCGGACTGGATCCCTCTTAGTGAAATTTCTTGCTGTCTTTTGACAGCTTGCTTGTCCAAAGGTGGAGTCCCTTCGTGGACCCCTAGGGCATTCCTTTGGGGGTCGGACCTGGAAGCTTTGACCCTTTATACATAATTTTACCTATTAAATTATTTTTACATGTTTTAGACTTCATATGACACTCCCAAATCTTCACAAGACCTATGGACATTTTCTACTTCAATTTTACTAGTTCCCGGACATCATGGTCATTTCTTAGCGATTTGGTTCTAATACTTCTTAACCAAGTTATTTACACTCATTTAGTTCTATAATCATCATAAATTCCAATGTGAGGCTCTAGTCTAGGGCATAGAATTTCAAGGGTGTTTGAGTATCCCCCCTTAGGAACATTCGTACCTAAATGAAACCTTAAACCAATACTAGGGAATAAGGAAGAAAGACTCAAGACTAGCATCCCATCAACAAGAATATCGTAATTAGTCGCAACTCATAGGAGAAATTTCAACTCCTTTCAACACATAAACATAACATCATTGTATAGGAGCTTACTCCAAATTTCATAACACATAAGAGCTTATAATTTACATCACATAAGGAAGAACTACCTTCTCTATATTAATATAAGGTCAACATGAACACCTATAAAGAGTTGACATGCAAATTTTTATTATAAAGACAACACTAAACATGTTTAATACAACTCTCATGAAAGCAATATAACAAACTACATATTTATGTCCAAATTAGCCATGAGAAGCATACTTACGAGATATCAATTTAGGAATGAATTTCTATTAAAACATGCACATATTAGAAAACATGATAAGTTCAACATTATTCATAGTAGTCATTTAAGAGAAAACTACTGACCTTAACCTTGGCTAGGAGTAGGAGGAAAAAGATGAGAATCACGAGACTTCATGTCGGCCTCGGCCTCCTATGTTGCACCCTCAATAAGGTGTTCGTCGATAGAACTTTGACGGAGGAAACCTCCGTATCCCTCAATATATTAATTTATGATCTAAGTTCTCAAGTGGAACCTCGTCATAAGAAAGATTCTCATTTACCCCTAAAAATTCTAGAGGGAGAATAGACACCGTATCACCTATACACTTCTTTAGCATAGACACATGGAACACTAGATGAACCAAGGCCAATTCATTCGGCATATTTAACTCATATGCCACTCTCCCGACTGGCTTAAAAATATTATAAGGTCCCATATAACGGGGAGTGAGTTTCCCCTTCTTTCAAAACCTCATCACCTTTTTCACGGGTATGATTTTGAACCCAATCAACTACTTCATATTCAAGGTCTCTCTTTCTATTTTTGACATAAGATTTTTGCCGACTATAAGCCTTTTTTAACCTCTCGCTTATGAGTTGAACTTTCTCCATGGCTTCATATAATATTTCGGCACCAAGAAGAGCAAACTCACCCACTTTAAACCACCCAACTGAAGATCGGCACTTTATACCATAAAGTGTTTCAAAAGGTGCCATAGCGATACTCAAATGATAACTATTGTTGTAGGAGTATTTTATCAATGGTAGGTGATCATCCCAATTCACTTCGAAATCAATTACATAAATTCTTAACATGTCTTCTAACGTTTGAATGGTTCGCTCATCTTGACCATGTTTTTGTTGGTGGAAAGCGGTACAAAGTTTCACTTCAGTACCAATCTCACTTTGGAAAGACCTCCTATAATGCAAAGTGAATTGGTCACCTCTATCTGAAATAATTGACAAGGGGTCCCATGCAACTTACGATCTCCTTAACATACAATCTAGAATACTCCTACGCTAAATAAGAAA